AATTTAACAAATTTTTCTCCACTATCCGGACAAAATTAAGCGATAATATTTCATTCATTAAAGATAAATATGTTGATGAGTCCAAAACATCAATAAGCTCTAATCTAAATTTTACTGATTAGATTTTAATGAATTTGAGTCTTTAAAACGAAATAAAGCTACTGGGTATTATGATATTAACACAAATATTGTGATTTCTACGATGTTATCAAAGACAGACTTTATAAGATCTTCAGAGCATCCATTGCACAACGGTCTTTTCTAGATAAACTAAAAATAGCGAAAGTAAAGACAGGGGATCGTACAAATATAACAAATTATCGCCCTATTTCAGTTCTTCCAGTTTTTTCAAAAATTTTAGAAAAAATAATGTACAACCGAATCTACTCTTATCTTGTTGAAAATAAAATTCTATACAAAAACCAATTTAGTTTTAAAAAAATCATTCAACCAAGAATGCCATTCTTTAACTTACGCGCAATATAACAATATGACTCTTTTAAAGACTCTTGTTTTACACTAGGAATGTTTATTGATTTTTCTAAAGCATTTGATACCGTCAATCATCAAATCCTGTTAAAAAAACTAATATCATATGATATTAAAGATAAAACCCTATTATGGTTTGAAAGTTATCTTATTAACCGTAAACTGTTTGTTTACAATATAGGTTTTAGATATCATCTAATAATGAATATAATATGTGGTGTTCCTTAAGGATCCATATTTGGTCCACTTACTTTTTTAATATACATAAATGATATTCATAAAGCATCAAACGGGCTAAATGCATCGGAATTTTCTATAAAGTAAGAAATATATTAAGTAAACACCAGTTAACACAATTATATTATTCATTTATACATTGTCATATAAACTACGCGTATATTATATGGGGAAGTACTCATAGAACAAAGCTTCCCGACGGGCATTTGTTTTTAAAAGTTACGTTCTAAATGTATTTTAAATGTCTTTCAAACGTCTTCTAAACATTCTTACGCAAAAAACGTTTAAAAGACATTTAGAATACATTTAGAACGTAACTTTTAAAAACAAGTGCCCTTCGGGTTAAATCTCTTTACCTTCGTCAGAAACACGCAGCTCGCGCAATAAATTTTAAAAATCGGTTTTGTCTTACGAAACAACTTTTTAAAGAAATAAATATTTTTAATGTATATAAACTAAATGTCTTCAATATTTTATGTTTCATGTTTAAATGTAGAGAAAATTTATTGCCAAATGTATTACAAAATCTTTATTGTATGAAACCTAAAAACAAATATAATCTTTGAATTAAAAACATTCTTATTGCCTCTTTTTGCCGTAAAAGGCAAAGTTTTTTGCTTTTTTATCGAGGTCCTTATCTCGATAAAGACCTCAATAAAAAACAAAAAACTTTGTCTTTTACGGCAAAAAGAGGCAAAAAGAATGTTATTAATTCAAAGATTATATTTGTTTTATCTGGAACAAAATAGTTTTACCAAATTTTGATTTTTCTGCTCAACTGACTTTTACTTCATTCAAACAAAAACTTAAAAAAAATATTATATTTTAAATTGAAAATACCTTGATTTATTTTTAATTGTTTTTTTGTTTTTTTGTTTGTTGTTGTTCTATTTTGTATATTATTTGGTGTAACATTTTATCTTTGTTTTTAAATGCTCTTTGCATTAAAGTTATTATTTTTCCACTACAGACATTGTATTCTTATTAAAAAGTAACCATGTATTGTAAAGGGCTTCATGACAAGATCCTCATGATCTTCTAAAAGTCCTGTCGTTATCTTTGTAAATATTGTAAAATATATTTGTTTATTGTAATATTTATAAATGGCAAAATATCTAAAGAAAAAAAAATCATTTTTTCTGACCGGTCAATAGTAATTATTTCAACAGACACTTCAGCAACTCTAAACTATGCATTAAATAATTTAGGTTTGCGTCGAAAATAAGCGGTTCATAAAAGAAATTGCTTACGGTAGCGTTTCACAACTTGAACATGTCGTCTTGCAAATTGTTCGACATCTCTGCGTGCAACGAGATGCTCTCTAAACCTAATGGGAATTTAATGTTAGCAATAGTCTTCTCTATTATTACCCTTCGTTAAGGTATGTTTTAGTTAACGCTTCCCAGTCTACTGCCTTTAAAAGGCAATCAGAAAAATTAAACCCAATGTCCTTATAAATGGGCAGCCGAACAGACTTTATTCAAATGAATACAACTTTATTACTGTGTGGATGAATCTTACTGATGCTTTTCTGAATTTGTTTGAAATGTAAGTAACAAAACCAATATGTTAAATAATGGAAATGGCTTTAAGGCCGTTACTCCAAACAGTTTTTACAATGGGTAATTTTTTGCACTTGATTTCAGAAGCTATTAAGATCAGAGCTTGAGCTGATCGAATCTAAAGCTCTCAAACACGGGTGACGGAGTACAAATAAATATTGCTCGAACAATAGGGACATCATAAATTCACACCGTTAAGTTTTTAGTAATTGATGTTGTTGCTAGGTTTAAAAGCGGGCGTTTCAATTGTATTTCTTATTAGAGTGCGGAGACTTTTTGCTCATGTAAATGAACGCTGGATGACCATTGAATATAAAAATCTATCGACCTAAAATTTTTATCCATATAGAAAGTTTTTATACCTGTATTAAACTCAGAGGTGAAAAAATTATTTTACCTGAAAAAAATTTTGTTATGTAAAGTTTTTTTGTACCCGTAATTTCAGACGTAAAAAGTTAGTTGTGCCTGTAAAAAACTCGGCGCTAAAACATTTTTATACCTGCAAAAAAATACGGTTACAAAAATTTTTAAGATGGGATGAAAAACTCAGTATAATAATAAAACACTTTATAATAAAATAAAGACCTCTATTAATAAACGCCACTTACATAAACTTTCTTTTAGGTACATTTACTAAATGTTTCTAAAAACTTACAAACGCTACCTAGCATATGATTTGAATCCAGTTCCATTTCAAAATTTCCACTTAAAAAATTACCGCATATTCATATCACCAAACCACGAAGAAAGTCTACTGAGTCAAAGAGAGTTTCACACATGGAGCTCTCTTTGACTTTTTTCAGAAAAAAAACAAAAAACCTTAATTGGAGAACACACATCGTATTGGAGAAACGTTACCAGCAGCGTACAACAAGGTTCTATTTTAAAATCATCACTATTTGTTCTGTACTTCTGTAGAGGAGCACCTTGCTGCTAACAGTAATTGATGCAAATTTGGTTAATTTGTTAAAAATTTAGCTGAATGCATATTTAAACCTGTTAAAAGAGAAGAATAAACAATAGCACAAATTAAACCATGTTTAATTCATATGAGTTAAAATAAAGTATGGTACTTGTGTGACAGATGTGCACGAGTATTCAAGGTTGTCTAAAAAGAGGTGCTTGATGGGCACATCTTTTTTAACGAGTTTTGGTTTAAAAGTAGATAAATTTTTTTAAATTTTTTCAAAACTTGGAAACTTTTTACTTATATATATATATATATATATATATATATATATATATATATATATATATATATATATATATATATATATATATATATATATATATATATATATATATATATACTGAAATTTTGAGCACTTTTAAAGCAACTTAAGTTAAATCATTCTGATCTGTAATTCTGATTAATATTGATTTTTCTACGACTAATTAACCCTAAATACAACACTTTCTAATGGCATAAGCTTTCACCACAAGTTGTGAGGTTATAAATTATTTATAGAACAGTATTTAGGTGTAGCTTGATCACGTAAGAGCATTATCAATAGAGATGAATTTTCTTTAGTATAGGTGTAACTTTGAATTTAGTCAGAATTTAGCTTTAAATTACTAGTCAGTCTGCAGTCTCAAAATCCATTTTGTTACTGCTGTTGTTGTTTTGTTTTTGGCTCAGAAATAATTAAGTCGTTTTAACTGTTTTGAAATATATAATGAAATTAAAACAGACTTGTTACTGTCTAAAAGTGTTAGTAAATATAATTATTTAATCCATTTCGCCTCATAATAGCAAAAAGTCAAATGCTGTCGAATTTCATATCTACGACTGCGAAAATGACTTAGTTACTGTACACATAAATGTGCAGCAAATGTATATTATATACTTGATTTCTTATTGAGTTTTTGAAAATAAATGCTGTCACTATGAGAATTATTTTCAGGATTTTCATCAACATTGAGAATATTGGCTACTGCATTTGCAAATATTTTAGTCTATGCTTGAATTAATATAGTACCTATTTCATTGTTTCTGCTGAGAAAAAAGATAAAGTATTATAATGTAAAATTTTAAAAGTATTAAAGTAAAATTTGGTTATAAACTACTATGTGCTGGAGAATGGATGCTGTTGACAAGAAAACAATAAGAACATAGTGAAATCTTCTTCTGTAATGCGTTAAAACGGCTGTCCCAAAGTTTGACAGCTCCGGGGGGCAAACTTTGTTGCTTTTAAGTGCTAATACAATAGTATTAGTTATACTTTAATACATAGACCACCAACTAAGCTACCATAAAAATAAAATCATTCAATTCAAGGATTGCACAAAGTCTCGGGACCCAAGGAAATATCCATAAATCAAGGAAATACTCACAATCGGAAATATCCCTAAAGTCAATGAATAAAAATCTTGGTTGTTCAAGAATTTAAATGGTAAAGATGTTTTATGAAGTTGTAAAAACCACTATATATATAAAAAAAAAAGTTGTTAAAGCCCCCCACAGGCCGCGGCGCCAAGGGCAGTTTGCCTTTCTCCTTTGAACGGCTCTGCGCGTTAACATTAGAAATGGTTTGCTATATTATTAAATAAAAAGGCAAAGAGTTTCAACTAATTTGAGTAAGGCCAAGAAAAATGGCAGCAGTTTATTTAGGAAGAAAAATGACAGTGTGAACAGTATGAGTAATAATAAATATACCGCTGCAATTAAAAGTAAACACTCGGCTCGCTCTCTAAATGTTTGAGCGAGACGAAGAGTTAAAATACTAACCTTTAGGGGCACGAACGACCTTTATAAACTAATTAGCGTATATTTCTATCCCGTATTTATACGAGTTTATAAAATGGAAGTCAATTTTAGCTGGGAAGAACTTTTCACGTTTTTGAAAAACTCTTGTTTGGAGACCTTAGATGAAAAAGATAATAAAATTTTTCAGCTTTGTCTATTTATAGTCGAAAAGTATGTCTTTTTTAATTGTTTCTTGTGTACTTTTTTTTTTCTTCAGGCAAACTACGGGTGAAGTATTTGTTGACAACATGCATTCAAATAACACAATATTCACTCAATAAATATATAAAATAATTAACACGAGTTAGACATTACACACTAGCATATGTCGCCAAGAAAACTTTGATATATCTTAACTGATAATAATACTAATATAAAATAGGTGTTATATTATAATACTTATAATATTACTTTTAATAATAGTTTTGACAACATTTATAATAATATTTTTTGATAATAATATATAGCAATTATTGCATTCACAGTTTGTGCAGTCATTGATTAACCAAATTTATTAACTTCAGGCGCAAAATTATACAGGGTTCTAAGTTTGTTTTTATTTTTTTTTTTATTTTTTTTTATTTTGAGAAATTATTAGGACCTTGACACTAAACATTAATATGTTAACTCAGCACAGTCAATTGCCCATCAAACCAAGGGTTCTGCATCTTAAATTTTTAGATGTGAAAATCTGACATTTTTTTTACACATCCAGCTTACCTATTGAAATGTTAAACAATAGTTAACTTTAATGAAGTTATAATTAAAGCCATTCAATAACTTTTGTTAACTTACTTTTCAGTTATAGCTGATTTGATATTAATTTCAAAAGTAATAATTTTTATAATTTGATTTTTAAGCAAAGAAGAATTATTGGCAACAACAGATTTGGAAATTAAAAAATTTGCTTCTCTCTTGTTTGGTCTAACTACAAATGTTATCATCAATGCATCTAATCAATGTAAATATTTTTTGCTTTTGTTACATACATTATTATTCTTTATTTTTACTAAATGAATATTTTAGCAGTATATTTCAGTTATAACTGCTATCAATATAAAGGTGCAGTGAGTTTTATTTTTTTTTTAGAATTTATTTAACCTGGGTGTGCAAAAGTTGTCCAATCATATCAGAATAAAAATATTAAGGTTTTAGCAAACAATCTTGAGGTTTCCCAAGACCTTTGAAAATTAAATGGGTCTCTAATATAATTAATTTTTTTTCCCCAAAAGTAATTTTTTTTCCCCAACATGACATACTTTTGAAAAAATTATGTCATGTTGAGTCTTTTGGGGCCCCTCAAAATAATTTCCTAAAACATTAATATATTTACAAAGTACTTCTGATATGATTATACAACTTTTGTACACCCAGAAAAAATGACTTTTCAAAAAAATTAAGATTCACCACACCCTAATCAAGATGTGTCCAAAATAAAATTTAAAATAGTATAAAATTTAAAATTATATTTAATTGTGTAAAATATAAATATAATAATATTTACAAGTTTTATAATAGTGATTTAAATAAATAAAGATTTTTTTAACTTTTTGCCTCTTTTGTTAAAAGATTGTTAAAAAAACAGTGCTCTTTCTCTAAGAAATTTTGTCTATTGATCAAACAGTGATTACTTTATTTATATGTTTGTTTGAAATTATTGCAACATCTCTAGCTTCTAATTGTTTGAAATTATTGCAACATCTCTAGTTTCTAATTTGATATTTGTTTGAAATTTTTGCATCATCTCTCTTGCTTCTAATTGTTTGAAATTATTGCAACATCTCTAGCTTTTAGTTGTTTGAAATTATTGCAACATCTCTGCTTCTAATTTGATATTTTTATTTGAAACTATTGCAACATCTCTGGCTTCTAATTTGATATTTTTATTTGAAATTATTGCAACATCTCTAGCTTCTAATTTGATATTTTTATTTAAAATTATTGCAACATCTCTAGCTTCTAATTTAGCTTCTAATTCTAAGTATGACTTTATTTATGAAGGAATGTAAAATAGTGAAACCAGGGCCGGATTTATACCCTTTAGGGCCCTAGGCTGAGTCTTTTTTTGGGAGCCTTTTTTATAAAAGTGTAGATTTTTTTATGTCAATTTTTCATTTTACTACATGAAAAACAAATTTCATACTGACAAATCAACAATTCAGTTTTAAAAACTCATATTTATATATAATATAATACTTTTGATACCTTGAAAGAAACCTTATACAGATGAAGTATTGTCTATTTTGTTATGAGAATTTTTTAGGTGATGTTTAAACTACAGTGTTTCAAACTCTGGACCAGCTTGTCAGCTTGTTAAAGTGGGCTAAGCCAGAATCTGATTATAAAACTCTTCATCATCTGGTCATAAAAATCTTCATTATCTGGAATTGCGGCATGAGTTTATAAGTGTCAGCAATCTTCTTAGTGTTGATTGTGATCGCTCCATCCAGATAAGCTTTGGCTGTAAGAAAAGACAGCACTGAGCGATTAGAATTTTTCAAAGAAAATGTTTGGAAATGAAGTCCATCAATATATTTCCTACAAATTATTTTTACCTTTGTTTCAGTTTTGTGGCTTATATGCCTAAAAGTACTTATTTTGAATGTGACTTTTTTGTTCCTGGCCACATTGCAGCCAGCTGTTTTATCAGAAAGCATTGTTTTTTTCTATAAAATTAAGAATACCAGTTCTTAAAATTAGCAATGTCAGTATTTTTCACGATGATAACAGAAAATGTATTTTATTTGGAGGATGACAAAATCAGATCATTGTACTCTTTTAAGGTTTAAATGCTATCAGTTTTACAGATTTTTCTGTTCAAGATAGTAAAGTCCTGATCACTAAGAAGAAAAGAGTTAGCTCTCACAGGAAAATATTGGTCAGCATTTAATCTTGTTTAGTGATTCTTGTGCAGAACATAGCCTAACAATGGTGTAGTTTTTGTTTTGTCCCCCACACCAGGCTTGGTGAGGAAGTGCTTTATTCTTGGTCACGCAAGTTATATTTAGTTGCGACAACTTGGCCACATCTTTTTAAATGTTTTTAAAACATTAAAGTTTATATATATATAAATATATATATAAATATATATATAAATATATATATAAATATATATATAAATATATATATATATATATATATATATATATATTATATATTTTTAAAATTCTTTTTAAAGAATTTGTACGATTGATATTATAAAAATAAGACTTTCAACAACAACCGCATTTTCAATAAAATTTAAAATATAATAATCATCAAAGTGAATAAAATTAATAATCAAATAAACTTACAGGCAAACCTAACATAAACATACGTATATACATAGTGAATTACGAGCGGATGAACACTGTTCCAGAAGGTTGAACAAAACATACATCTACATAAAATGACTTACAGTTGAACCAGCACCGCGTCAGCGGTCAATACTGAGCACAAACATAAAAATATATATTAAAAATTCCACTCACTAAACATCATCAGGAGTATTGTAAAGCAGTTCCGATTCCTTTTCATAAATATGTTTTACCTTTTTAGTTTAACCAATAAAAGTTTGCTTTCTAATAATTTGATGCAATAAAAACATGCTTCTAGTATGCAGAAGACAAAATAAAATCATATTTACTTAGAATGTAATATCCCCTTTATATTTTAATTTATAAAATATAATATAGTATAATAAACCAATAAACTTATGTAAAATATCAAATTATTAAATGAATACATAATCTGCAGTTTGGATACTGATCATCTGGTTTCGTTGCAGAATTTTTTTAAACATTTTAAAGGCATTGCTAAAAAAGTACATTATAATATTTTTATTGTAAAGCAACCATTTAATTATTTCTTTTATTTAATCTTACTTAATAAGAATTTTTTAAAAATATTTTGTTACTTAAGAAGAATTTTTAAATATTTTAAACTTTTTTTATTTAATAATTTATTATAAACATATTTTTTTTGTTTTAGATTTTTTCTTTGTTAAGAATTTATTTCTTATTTTAATTATTTTTATAATTAGTTGTCTCCCATCAAGTTTACTTTTTTTTTGCGCTTTTTGAAATGTTCTCAAAACATCTAAAAAGTCATGGTCATGTGTTTGCAACTAAATATTATATGCATGGTCTGATATAAAGTGCGATCTCACCCGCTTTCACCAACCAAGCCTGACGCATCAGAAAACATATGCAACTCTTCTATATCATTGCAGAAAGATTTTATATATTTTAATAGAAAGAAGTAAACCTCATCAAGACCTGATGCCTCAAAAAGATTGAGGTCAGCATTTTCTCATTATCTGCAGCAGTCTTAACATTGTCGCTTAAGTATTTACTTTTAATTTTTACCTGTAACTCATCACATGTGCAGCATGTGTCCACTTGAGATTGCTGCTTAAATATTTTCAAATAAAGTTTGTTACATTGATTCCAGGATACTTTTGTTAAAATATCTTGTGCATGTCATAAACAGAAAGTTTTTCATTAAGAAAATGTTTTTCAGTATTACCATAGTGAGTTATTTTAGTTGGACAATCAGATATGTGCTCTTTCACCATGTTTATGATGCATTCCAGTTTAGCATTTTCTAAATTACTTTGTCCACATTCATCACGAGGGAGTTGTCCTGTTTTCAAAAGGTATATATCAACTGCAGATAGCAATCTTGTTCGTTTTTAGTTTTGAGACTAATAAACTTGTTGAATACCATGTTCATCTTCTACAATGACTTCAAAACACTTTTTCTGCACCTTAAAAAAGCAAAACAAAATAAGTTAGGCGTACTCCAAGAAGTTCAAAAGTTTAAATTTCATTCAAAAAGTTTACTAGAACTTCAGCTAAGTTTGATTTTTCAATTGTTTCGTGATCTTTCAATTATTTTGTGAGATTTTTCATGCACATATCTTAGAACAACACAAAGGTGGATATATATATATATATATATATATATATATATATATATATATATATATATAATATATATATATATATATATATATATATATATATATATATATATATATAATATAAAAAATCATGGTTCTATAGAAATTGCTCTAGTTGAGTATTCACAAAAAAAAAGCTGCAATTATTAACAACAATCACTCCTATTTTAAATATGAAGCCACTACTATACTAAGTTCAGAAAAAAGCGTAAGCATTAGTTTAGTTTATCTGTGCATTACAACTTTGTAAAAATTATCTTCGCTTAATGGATAAGAGAGGGATATGTAAACTTGTTGACGATCTTACTACGCAGTTGGAAATGAGGTTTTATTTAAGTGAAGACGTTTTTCTTCCACTACTTTCTTAGAACCTCGATTTAAATAAGAAATGTTTACTTTGGCAGAGATAAAAATCGTAAAATCTTATCTAATGACATCTGAAAAAAAACATGATTTAAATATTACTATGATATTAAATATTACTTCTAGCCCAAGTTAAAGGTTTCGCATTTTGCTAGGAAAGACTATTGCATTTACTGTTGATCACACCTCCAGAGTTAACTCTTTAAGAGTTAACTCTGTGGGAGTAATATCATAAACAAGTTTATCTATCCCTCTTTTATCCATTAAGCGAAGATAATTTTTACAAAGTTGTAATGCACAGGTAAACTAAACTAATGCTTATGCTTTTTTCCGCACTTAGTATAGTAGTGGCTTCAGATTCTGCATTTAAAATAGGAGTGACTATTGTTAATAACTGCTTTCATACATTTTTTTTTTTGTGAACACTCAACTAGAGCAATTTCTATAGAACCATGATTTTTTTAAGTTCATTCCAATAAATTTGAAGTGCTGTTAAAGCCCGTTTTCACATCCATTGGAGGCTTTAACTCAGGTTTTCCTTCATTTTTACTTGCTTCTATTTTGATACTTGTATTATGTGAGGAGAAACAAGTCAAGCACGTCACTGCCAGTGACGTGGTGGGGATCAAACTCAGAAACTTCCTCGCTTATAAGGCAAGCGCTTTACCACTATACTACTGCTGCATTAAAATATTAGCTAGAAACATGATTTTTTTTTTTTTATCAACAAATTTTACTGGTTTTTTAAATAAATAATTTTTATAGGTAATCTTAAATTTTTTTGTCTATTTTCATCTCTGGGTTCACTGTGTCACTAATAAATATGCCATCAATATAAAAATGAATGCCCTTTGATTAGGTTTTATCTTATTGAAGACTTTCTTCATTTTGTTGAATATTCACTTTGTTTGAATGTCATGTTGTCATCTTTTTTCATTTTGTTGGCATCTTGACAAAAATTAAATAAAACATTTTGGTAAAATGGTAAAGATCGAATGTGCTACAACTTAGTACATACTACAAAAAAAAATGTTAAATAAACTTTCTTTAGAAAAGTCACTTAAACTAAAAGCAATACTTTCCAACTAATCATTTTAGACTTACCATAAAGTATTAAGCAATGCCAGAGTCATAATGAGTGTGTTGACAACTTTTTGTACACTGGTACAAGTGAAACAATAATTAATTTTGTTCCTTATTTAGAAAAATAACTTCTTTAAAGTCATAGATAACTTAATTTAAAATCGTTAATGTTTATACTTTGATATCTTCTGCAAATTTTATAAAATTATATGGTAAATGGCAAACCAATTATAACCCGCAGAGAAACTGATAAACTAACTGAAAGGATGATGTAATATTTAAATCTACTTTTAATCTACGTCATCGCTTAAGATGGTTATTTTAACTTAATTGTTTTTTTAACATGCACAAAACGTTTTGAAGATTTTGATTATAAATTAGAAATGTTTTTATTTTTTCTTCTTGTACTTTTATGTAACCAGGAAACTATTTTTTTTCCTGGTTATAGAATTTTTTTTTTGTATTGTGTATAAAAAAATATAATTTATTTAAATATAATTGACTTGGTTCTAATTATCATTTTCTTTTTGCCATTTTCAATAAATACATATTTTCTGATAAATTAAAAATAAGCTAAAAGTGATTTATTTTTAGATATACTTAGAATAAAGAAAATTCAAAAATTTACCAATTTTTTTTTTAAGGCTTTTAATGTATAACATTTATTAAAGTAACCTATTGTTTTTGTAAATAAATTTATATTTATTTTTTCGAAAATATATTTAGTTTGTGAAAATGAATTACTTTTATGGTCTACTATTGAAGTCATCGTTTCTTTTTGTGTGTCCAACCTGAAGAGTGGATTAAATAACTCATATATTACTCAGGTTAGTTTTATAAATTTACAGATATTTAATATTTTTAGTTTTATATTTTTTTTTTGTTTATATAAATGTAAAAATTGTAGTTGCAGTTAGTCAAGCTACTTGTTGGTATTTCAACCTGCAAAGAATCGTTAAACAAGGATGAAATTAATGCTCTTTTAAATATGGAGTTTGTTTTTCCTGCATTTCTTAAAATGGAAGCTAAAACTCACAGCGATTTATTATACAAAAGGTAATATTTTAAAAATTTCTTCTTAAAATAGAAACTAAAACTCACAGCGATTTATTATACAAAAGGTAATATTTTGAAAAATATTTTTACGTAATAAGCTTTTTCTTCAAATGAAATTTAATTTTTTAGTTGATGATGATTTGTTACCATGGGTACTTATTTATATCAATTTATTTATAAATTCTATTTTAGTTTGTTCAATATTGATCTTAACAAACTCAGATCTTCTGATTGGAAAGTTCAGTTTATGGGACATGCTGCTGCAATTTTAAGAAAGAAAAATGTTTTTGATATTTTATTAAATGTTATTGGCTCGTTTGAGGAACTGGATAGTTTTGCTAGGAAATGTGACCTAATATTTTATGATGATTCAAATCCACAAAGCATAAGTGCAATAAGGTAGGAAGTTATTAGTCACCCTTATGTTATAGTAATTTATATATTTAAAATTATAATATAACATTGTTATATAAAAATTATAATAATAATATGAAATATAAATATAAAAACTTAATAAATAACTTAATATGAAATATAAATATAAAAAATATAAATATAAAAACTTATAAGAACAAAACTTTTTGCAGACTTATGTCTGACCATTGTTTTTAACTAATTTTTTGGTGTGGAATCCAAAACTGATTTTAGTTTTTTAAGTTTGAAACTGTCAAAAAAGCCATAGAATCTTTATTTACTTATTAACAATATATTTGGTTGCTTTATTTCAAAAATACAAGGAAGTAAAAATGAAACAGACAAATAAAATGTTTATAGGGGAAACCAGGGCAACATGGCGAATGTTTTGAAAGACCTGAGTTATTGCAAAACTATCAGTCCTGAAGCAATAACAGTCCTGATGCAAATACAGTTTCATTTTTACCCAATTTTAAGATTTTTTGTTGAGTTGTTATATGAAAACCCATCTTGCCCCATTCGCCATGTTGCCCCGCTTTCCCCTATAACCTTTTTTTTTTTTTTTTTTACAAAAGATCTAAATGAAGTTATTATAATTGTGGAAAAATAGTTAGGATAGAACCTTTGTTTATAGCTCAGATGCTCCAACAATAGTCAGCCATCATATGCGCATCCCATCTACCCTGATAATTTTTTTTCCATAAACTTCAAATTTTAGTGAAGTTGTTCACCTTGCTTCTCACTAACAGCACTAAGAAAGCAAGATGGCAATGCAAAAATTGTAGTTTACTCATGTTACAATGAAGTGCTTTTTTATAGCACTCTTATAGTTTCTGAACATTTTCTGCATACTTACTTACACATGCATTTCCAAAAAAATTCTTGACAACGTTTTTGTATGATAACCAAATATTCTTTTCAAGGAGAATTTTGTGACATAAGCTTATAAGTATTTCATCTTTTTGTGTTTTTTTTTAGCTTATCAAACATGAATAAATTGTTTTTCTTTGATAAGCTAAAAAAGAACTAGGATGAAAAAGTTATACGCTTAGAAAACTAAAAAAAACAGCATACAGTGAAATAAAACATGAATATATTGATTGTGTTGACCAATTGGAAGCTGTAAACACCGCTCACCACACTTTTTTCAATTGTAACTGCCAATCAGAATCTGTAAATAAAGCTTTACTACAGCTAAACAATGGAAATATCTTTATCTGTAAAGATGTACAGTAAAATTTGGTGTGCTGGAAAAAAAACTGACAGCAAGCCAATTTTAGTTAAAATCACCATAAAAATCAAAGTCAACAGAAAAAAAGTTTCAAATTGTTCCTAACTATTTTACAAGTAGTTATGAAATTAACTTTAAAGCTTGACCTATATTTTTCATCATGATTTTGATTTTTAATGCTTATTACATTATTGAATATTTAGCATAATTAGGGCTGATTTGCATAAATTTTGTATATGAATAATTTAGAATAATGTAGATGATAATAATAACAATATTAATAATAATAATAATAATAATAATAATAATAATAATAATAATAATAATAATAATAATAATAATAATAATAATAATAAATAATAACAATAATAATTATAATAAATTTATGTTTATATAATTGTTGTTGCTATTTAGCATATTGAGTTTTGAAACACAACTGATGGTGATCGTTGAAACCCTTAAATTACCTATTATTGATCAAATGACCAAAGAACAACTTGAGTTAGTTATCCAGTTAGTAGATAAATCCTTAAAAGCTGCAATGTTTATTAGCTCTGGATATTTTACTGTTAATAAAAAAGAAAATGAAGCTGATGGTTCGTATGATGATTACTGTAGAAAGTATGAATGGAAGTCAACAGAACACTGTGTAAGTGTTATGTAAAATTAAATTTTTTGAAAATTAGTAAAATGGAAAGCTGAAAAATTTATAAATATAAAAATAAGTATTTTATTTTTTAAAATTAGATGAAAGCTTATTTTACTAAATAGTGCTGTAAGTATTTATAAAAATAATCAGTAAGGAACTTTAAAATGTATCATGATAGGTCTATGTTCTGAGGGATTACAATTTTTTCTTTTTAACTAATAGTTTCTACAGAACAATCTAACATTGATATTGATATCTAAAAATTACATAATTATTTTACTAATTAACTTCCTCTTTCAAAAATTAATTATTTTTGATCATTTCTGTAGAAAATAAAACTGGTTAAAACTAAATTATCCTTATCTAATCAAAATAATAAAAAAAATATCATGAGAATTGTTTATACAATTATTATTATTTTTTAATTAGTATCAACTAATAAAGCATAACTTTATAGGATTTAATATGTTCCAAAATGTTATATAGCAGAGAGTGGGACACTTGATTTCTCCTTCATAACTATTTTTTTAACATGTTTTTTTTTATAGGCAAAAAAAAAATTCATTTAACAAAATATAACATAATAAACTTACACAATTAAATTTATTTAATAGCAAAATATAACAGGTTAAACTTACACGATTAAATTTATTAAATTTAATTCTGTATCAAGTTACCCCATACCCCATAAATGCTGTATCAAGTTACCCCATACTTTCTAGTAGAAAACAATCACTTTATTTTTAGTATCAAATTTTTTTTAACAGTTTTGTCTAATGAAGTAAAGAGCTTATCAATTGTAGTTTATAAAATAATGTTTTAAAACTTTTACACACTTTGAATAACATACCTTAAAACTTAGCAACTTTAAAAACTATTAAATTATTTTGTCATTAAAAAAATACAAACCTTTGCCTAATGATATCTAATGACATAATTTTTTTTTGTCAAAGAATAGCTCTGGTAGTAACTATTTCAACATATGAAAGTGGTTGTCACAACTTTTAAGGTGCCTCTTCAATTGCAATGTTTCAGGGTGCCCCATGTTTCATGGTGCCCTACAGTAAAAATGCCCTATAGTAAAAAGAATTTTTTATCTTTTATGTTTAATACACAATACATTTAAGAATATTTTTGTATTATCGAAATTAAGTTAAGAGCATTTGTGACAATATAATTTATCAGCTAGCTTACCTTTTAATGTTTGAAAAAAATAAAACTGTTAAATGGTCTTATTTTTGAATATGCATAAAAATATATTAAACTATTTTTGAATATGCATAAAGCTGATTGCGTAATAAGTATTAAATATCTTTAATGTTATTTTATCTTGAACATTTTACTTGCTGATTATGCTTGATGTTTACTTAATGTATATATCCTTGTGTTTGATATTATTATTATTTGCCATTAAAGCATCTGACATTCTTTTGTGATATTAGCATTTTGAAATTTTTAAACATCAAGTTTTTAATTAATTTAAACATTGTAAAAACATAGTTTATTGATTTTTTATTTTTACCGTTTAATGTTTAAATTTTCTTTTTATATAAAAATTTTCTTATAATTTTTTTCTGATGTTAAACTTTAATATTTCAGTACATTGATTTTGTTTCTCATTTTTCACACACAGTTAGCTATACTTAGTGCTGTTAGCAATATTTGTTCATCGTCTCCTCATATGGAGAGGTTTGTTGGTTTCAATTTGGAGGCCAAGAGTGTTACTACTATTCTCAACGTTTTACAAAGAGCTATAAAAAAAGAGCATGAACATAAATCAAAATGGTAAGTACAATTACAATAACTTATTATTTATATTTATAATTTAAACATTTATTTAAATTTAGAAAAAACACTTATCTAATTTTTGTTTAATAAGTGTAACTAATAAGTGTTTTTACTAAATTATTATTGCTCTGTTCTTTAAGAACATTAAGCACTCTATTTGTAGAATACACTAGTGTAATTTATATATGTATATATATATATATATATATATATATATATATATATATATATATATATATATATATATATATATATATATATATATATATATATATATATATATATATATATATTGTTTAGATAAATTTAAGTTTAAAAAGTATATATATATTAATATAAATATATGTTAAAATAATAGTTAAAAAAACGCTTTAATTAATAGCAAGTTAGCAATTTATAATTGAAGTTCTTAAACATGGGTTTTTATACCTAGCATTAAAAATAAGAAAACATAAACGTTAAAGTTTAACTTTAACAATAATAATTATTTTATTGGTGTCAAAGCTAAATTCTTTAATCAGAGCAGATTCTTTTGGAAAAAAAAGTCAACAAGCTGGAACTTTTCTTCATGAAAAACAATATGGTAAAATGTTTTTTGTTAATATCTCAATAAATAATTTATTTTAGGAAGTTCAATTAACTTCAAACTTATTTTTTATAGTTTAAGATATGAGCACAATTTATAATATCTCTTGGAGATCCCTTTAAAAAATGAGCAAGGTGTTAACCATATTGCTAGCAAATTTTTAGTTACTAGATATGGCTGACAAAGACTATAATTTCTAGTTCTTCTATTTCTCTCCAATGAAATTCAGACAATGTTTTATCCAAATGAGCCATGTCAATTAGGGTCTTTGTTCCAAATCAATTAGGGTTTCTTTTAGTTCCAAAAAGCGTTAAATCATTAAGTAATCCCCCTTCTAGAGATATTCAAAATTTGTCTTTTTCTACATGATGTCAAAATTTGTCTTTTTCTACTTGATGCTTTAACACAGCATTAGTTTTGGTTCTTGCAGTTTTCACCACTTGACGAAGCTTACCTATCAAAAAACTGACATGTTTGTCTTTTAAACCATCTCACTTGTAATATATGAACATCTCATTAAATTGAATTATGCTCATCTTAGTTTAAACTAGTGAATCTACTGCTTTGTTGAGTTCTAAATCTAAAATATCTTTGCTTGTATTTTTAGAAATGATAATCAGAGAAATATCCTACTTATTCTTTTGGCTATCGTCTTTAAAAAGATCTAAATTAAGTTTATCTACTGCACTAGTCATGTCTATTTCTAATTTTTTTAAAATCCAGTGTTATTTCATATAGAACACATTAAGGTGAGAGCTGCAAATATTTTTCAATTTTTTTTTTTTTTAACCACCCTAGTTTACATATTGGTATTGGATACCTTTATGGTATTGGATACAATGGTAAAATATGGTATTGGATATGATGATTAGAAATTTATTTCATTGATGTTCATCTATTTTAGTGTTACTCTATGCTCCCTCCCCATTATGGGTAAAATGTTTGGTCTTGAATAATCTTTGCCTATATTCCAATAAAAAGCACTTTTAAGAATAGTTTTATTTTAATGTATTACTTTAGCCTACTATATAATACGGCTGGATTTGAAAAAACACTCATCTAATTTTTAATTTTTAATTGAATTGGTTTATTTGTAACTTCAAAGCCATATTTTTTTGGCCCACTAAATTATTGGCAATTTAGTGGGGCAAAAAAATATGGCTTTGAAGTTACAAATAAACCAATTTAACAATATTCCGATGGTTTAAATTCCATTCGTTTTTTAAATATAAGCAATAGTTTATTTTGCAATTCTAAAAAAGTTGTATTGTTGGTTGAAAAAGGTTGAAAACTCAGCGATATGTATCGATCATTTTTAAGAACTTAAAAAACGAATAAAATTGAATTATTGTAAAAATCTTATACTCAGTGTAGTTAAGGCAAATCGCAAATTATTCGAATTCTTTAATTTGGAATTTGCATGGTTTTATCAGCGTGTTATGTCCAAACAAGAGCTTTAAATGGTATAATTTTTTTTCTTCAGGTTTTTTTTTTAGTATTTAAAGAAACTTTTCTTTATTTTATATAATTTTTAAAACCTTTTTATTACCGATAATAGTGAATCTAAAGAACAGCATTTTGAAGTCTTTAGATCAATTCCGCTCATTGGCATTAACATGAATTTAGTTAAAAAAAAAGATTATAATTGAAATTGCTGATAAACGATCAGAACAGATCATATTAAAAAGAATCTTTGGTCTGTTGCTATAAACATTTATATTTTATGATACCGCAAAATTTATCATTTTAATTTTTTTTCATAATTCACAGACCTGATCATTTAACAGAAATATGTTGTAGTCAACAAAATATCATACAGACGCTATAATATTTTAAAATTGCCTTAACTACATCGAGTACCAACAAATATTACCAACCAAAACAAATCAAATCAAAACAAATCAAATCAACCAAAACAAAATCAAATCAAATCAAAATTTAACAAATCAAATCAAATCAAACAAAACAAATCAAATCAAATCAAAATCAAATCAAACAAAACAAATCAACAAAAACAAATCAAAGCCATCTCTAATTTAATCAAGCTCAGCTTTATGTAAGCCCCCTGCAGTTCATATATATAACCATACTAGATAAAACAGATGATTTCATAAAATGTGATACAATTAAAAACATTATAGATGTTAATGAAAGTTTTGGTCCAGAAGAATTTTCATTTAAAAGAATTGATAACCGTGTGTTTTATGATAAGTGATGTTACTCCTAACATGGAGAGTATTACGATTGATGAAGACTTTCATATGAAGCTACATATGAAAGGGATAGATGAAATAATTAGATTTTTTCTGATACACAGATATTCATCAAAACAGGCTATTTTGCTATTAGAAGAGTTTCCACTTCGTTGTCTTATTTAAAATCACTTTCAAAAGGGGGCATTGATCCAATATCAGGATTATTATTACTATTGGAAAGTTGTAGTGTTAGTGCTGACTGTGTTTTTTTAATTGACGAGATGTATTTACAAAAGGGTGTCCAATATCATTAGGGAAGTTTGATTGGTGCTGCTGCTGATAGTAATTATTTCTATTCTTGTATAGTTGTGTTCATGGTGGCTAGCTTAAAAGAATCAATTCCCTTTGTTATTAAGGCCAGTTCGAAGTTTCAAATTTCTGGTTCCTTGATTAGTTCACATATAGAAGAAACAGAAACTTTATATAAAGGATCTATTATGGTAAAAGCTATAACAGTTGACAATCATGCAACAATTGTTTCAGCATTCAAGTTTCTACGTTTAAGATTTGGTGAACAAGATGACATATTTTTTACATTTATTGGATACCTAGTTTACAATTTATATGAAAGTGTTCATTTACTAAAAAATATTAGATATTAATTAATTAAAACTGTTTTTATTTCCACCTTTTAATTTCAAAGAGTTTGGTGATATTATTTATGTTAAAGCTGGTGAAATTTCTTTTTTTAAATTAATTGCCCAAATTTTACATCCTGGAAATAACAAACATAGTGTTCCTTTAACTTTAAATATTTTTGATAGAACTATCTCTGCTGCAATCACCAGCTATTTTCTGGTAATGTTTAACACAAATAATAGGATTGGTAATGTAGCTATTCCAGGCAATAAAAAACCACAGTTTTTTTTTGAGATTTTGCAACATGAATTAATGAATGGAAAAAAATACAATTTAAAAAATGTAATAAATATACTTTGTCTGTTCAAACAACTAATGCATTAATTGTGACACTAAAGGGTATTGCAAGTCTGATGGAAGTTTTATTTTCAGAAGGATATAAGTATGTTTTAACTAGCAGATTTCAAACTGATCCATTAGAAGGCATTTCAGTCAAATAAGTGGTAGAAGATTTTTAGTCAGTTTACGTGAAGTTCAAAATTTTGAAAATATATTATGCATGAAATCTCTAATTAAAGCCAATATCAATAGTTGGACAAGCAATCTGAAATCTGATACAAAAATGATCTTTTATTTAAATTGGAAAAATTTAGCAACAATATTTAGGAGAATGAGCTGTCTCATCAATGTAGATGGTTACATCATAAAAAAGGTTGCAAATAAATTTAAATGTGCTAACTGTCTGACAACATAAGGTTTCAACAGAATATCTTGAAATTCTATCACCAGGTGGATTAACAAAACCTTCTATAGCATTAGGTAACTATGTTTATAACGGGTATATAATTTTGGATATTGTAAAGAAATTATTATAAAAGTATTCTCAAAATATAAAAAGTGCATCCTTGTTGGCACTTGAAACGTATCAAGCAAATGATAGCGGTTTTATGTGTATAGAACATAAAGGGAATGAATTTGGAAAAGGGAATGAATTTGGTAAACACAATTGTTGCTAAAATATATTTCAACAATGAGCGACAAATTTAAAATCAAAACATTAGAAAAGATGAAGTTGCTGCCTTTAAAGTTTAATAAACCATAAAAGACAAATAAATAAACGCAACAATAGTATATATATATATATATATATATATATATATATATATATATATATATATATATATATATATATATATATATATATATATATATGTATATATATATATATATATATATATGTATATATATGTATATATATATATATATATATATATATATATATATTTCACAACATAGTATATATATATATATATATATATATATATATATATATATTATATATATATATATATATATATATATATATATATATATATATATATATATATATATATATATATATTTCACAACATAGTATATATATATATATATATATATATATATATATATATATATATATATATATATATATATATATATATATTTATATATATAGTATATATATTTTTTCTTAGAGAAATAAAGGAATCTTAACTTGATAGAACTTTTGTGATATAAATGTTGTGGTTTTAATTTAAATATTAGTGTAAATATAATGCAAATTAAAAAAAAAAAAAAAGATGACTGTTTTACTAAGGTATTCCTGCTAATTTTAGTTGTTTGAATCAATAATTCAGAAACTTAAAAATTTTGTAAATATATAATACAGGCTTAAAATCAGCACACTATGTAATATACTTACTTTTTATGTAATATTATTGTTCATCAAGTAATACAGTGGTATTACTTGATGAACAATAATATTACATAAAAATAGTTTACTGAAAACTCTGTTGTTTTCATAAATCCACCATTTATGAAAAGATTTTTTTTTTGTTGTAGATTT